GGCTATTTGTTGACATTGGATGCATGTGGCTGACTGAATATCAATGTGTTTGCTTGCTTTAGTTATCATGTTACATGTTTGAGTAGTAGAATTTTGATAAACTCTTTAATGAAACTCTCTTCTTAGAAATATTCTGACTGGCTGCTGCTTCTTGTTAACAACTATTTGTGACACGCGAGGATTGATTTTGTAGGTGGAGTATATTTTCTCTGACAAATCTGGGACTCTAACAAGAAACCTGATGGAAATTTTCAAATGTTCAATCGGGGGAGAAATTTATGGCACCGGTGTTACTGAAATAGAGATGGGAACAGCTCAGCGAACTGGAGCTAAAATTGATGTATGTTTCTTTTCCATTGGAGGTTCATAAAGTAGTCTGATTTGTGCCATGCCGTAGTCTAATGACTTTGTTTTTCAGGTTGAGAAGCAGCCGAACATAGCACGTGAAAAGGGTTTCAATTTCGATGATTCGCGGCTCATGAGGGGTGCTTGGAGGAATGAACCTAATGCTGAGTCTTGCAAGGTGGGTTATCAACTGAGGAGTTCAAATTTGTCAGAAGTGCGAAATGTATACTAAAAGCTATCTTGTTCCTTAGCATCTATCCATATTCCAGATCCTGCCCTGTTTCTGTTGTTGATCCACTAAGATTAACATACTTTTGTTTAACGTGTTTACATTCATTTATCTGATATTTTTATTTCTGCGCTTACCTGTACAAGTAGCCATTTGATTTATCATACATCAAAGAATATAGTGATTTTCGAACTTCCATATTTAATTATTACTCCCTGCTAGATGGTGGTTCATATTTGGATGATATTTTATTTTGTGTAGGAGTTCTTCAGGTGTCTTGCTATATGTCATACTGTGCTTCCTGAAGGTGACGAGTCCCCTGAAAAGATCCGATACCAAGCTGCATCCCCTGATGAGTCAGCCTTGGTTACTGCAGCAAAAAATTTTGGCTTCTTTTTCTACAAGTAAACATTTTGTCAATCGTCTTTTTTACTGCTTTGAGAATATGATTTGTAGTGAGACTTACAGTGTCAAACTGCAGGCGTTCACCCACAACCATTTATGTACGTGAGTCACATGTTGAGGAGATGGGAAAGGTTCAAGATGTTCCATATGAGATCTTAAATGTCTTGAGTTCAATAGGTAAATTATATTTTTTTTATCTTTTTTGTGATTTCCCTTTAGTACTTGATTAATATATTTCTGAAAAATTGTTTTGGTATGATGTAGTACGAGGAAGCGCCAGTCTGTTGTATGTCGATATCCAGATGGTGGACTTGTACTCTACTGCAAGGTAGCTATATGAGTTGTGTGCATCTGTCATTTGGGTTTTTTTCACGAGGAGTAAACATCGACATTTTTCTGTGACATATTTGCAGGGTGCAGATACAGTGATATACGAGAGGTTGGCAGAAGGAAGCAATGATTTGAAAAGAACAACTAGGGAGCACCTGGAGCAGTTTGGAGCCTCTGGATTGCGTACTCTTTGCCTGGCTTATAGAAACTTGAACTCCGATGTATATGAGAATTGGAATGAGAAATACATTCAGGCAAAATCTTCATTGAGGGACAGGGAGAAGAAATTGGATGAGGTTTGTTTGGTTTTGTTTGACCTATTAGTATACCAAAACATTCTTTATATTTACCTGTTCGTTGGTGTATCTGTTTTATTTCTTGTTATTTCATGAATGTCAATGCCACAATTATTCTCAAGAATCTTCTGTTATATGGATTTTACTCTCTCTCTCTCTCTCTCTCTCTCTCTCTCTCGCACGCACGCACACACACACACACACACACACACACACACACATTTTGCCTAGACGGAATGTTATGCACTTAATGGCTATCTAATTAGAATAGGAGTAAGAAAAGACTGTCTTACTGTGTATAAGGTATGCGGTTTAATAAAAAAGTATTTTGAAATCTTAATTTCATGCCTACTCTGAACTAGCACGACGTGAAATGAAATAAAAAAATCTGAAAACTTTCTCATTCTTGGTGGTAGGATAATGAGGTTAAAATGTGGTAGATAAATGTAATAATGAAATTTGGATGCTCAAGCTCATTTGGCACTCTGGAAGCTTTTTATTCTTTTCTATTTTATTCTGTAACTTAGATGGTGCTCGACTTAATTGATAAACCCTTTTTCTGTTGAGTTGGAACATGATGCCTAAAATGTATTAATGATCAAGTCCTTCTGTTTTTATTTTCTCCGTTAGTCTCATTAAACTTGTTATCAGTAAAATTTATTTTTTGTAATAGCCCGACATGTAAATTTGGCAGGTTGCAGAACTAATTGAGAAGGAACTTATCTTGATTGGATGTACTGCTATTGAAGACAAGCTTCAGGCGGGAGTACCTGCATGTATAGAGACCCTTGCTCGAGCTGGAATTAAAATTTGGGTGCTAACTGGTGACAAGATGGAGACAGCAATAAATATAGCCTATGGTAGTAACACTAACACCCTTATTTTATTTTATTTTATTTTTTTTTTAAATTTATATAACTAAAACCTGCTTCAATAATTTCTTATATATATCCTTCTGCTTACTGCAGCATGCAAGTTGATAAATAACAGCATGAAGCAATTTATAATCAGCTCTGAAACTGACACCATTCGAGAAGTTGAAGATAAGGTGAGATCCTATTATCCCTTCAAATAATGGGAGATACTTGTTTTCTTCTTTAATTCTTTCCTCTTCTTAACATGGTGTTGCCTGGATATCAGGGTGATCAAGTCGAGCTTGCTCGCTTCATGAAGGAGACAGTAAGAAATGAGCTGAAAAAATGTTTTGAGGAAGCACACGAGCTTCTTCTTTCCCCGTCCAGACCTAAACTGGCTCTTGTAATTGATGGGAACTGTTTGATGTTTGCACTGGACCCCAGTTTACGAGTAATGCTGTTGAATTTGAGCTTGAATTGCAGTGCAGTTGTTTGCTGCCGAGTTTCCCCATTACAGAAGGCACAGGTAAAGTTTTTTAAAGTGTAGTTTGTCCTCATTGACTCGGCACATGGATTTACAAACTGAGGTTGTGTTTGGTAAGCATATAAGCTAACTTATAGCTTATTTGGTTAGCTTATAAGCTTCCTGTATTCAAATAAGCTTGGTTTGGTTTGGTAGGACGAACTTTTTTAAAAAGCTCGAGCTTATCTCATAAGCTTTCTTAGGCAGTTTTTCAATAAAAGCCAATTGAGTTTTGAATTTCAGCTAGTTTATCAGCTAATTTACCGAACACTTTTGTCATATAAACTAGTTTTTTAGCCATAAGTCATAAGCTATTAGCTATGAGCTCGAAATTCACTTAAAAATTATAAGTTAGCTTATCAGCTAGGTTTACCAAATCTTTTTGCTGTTTTTAGGTTACAAGCCTGGTTAAGAAGGGGGCAAAGAGGATTACACTAAGTATTGGTGATGGTGCTAATGATGTCAGCATGATTCAGGCTGCTCATGTTGGTGTTGGGATAAGCGGGCAGGAAGGTATGCAAGCTGTGATGGCAAGTGATTTTGCAATTGCGCCGTTCCGATTTTTGACTGAGTTGCTCCTCGTGCATGGACGGTGGTCTTATCATAGCATATGCAAGGTTTATTTATTCTAGTCTACTATAATCTGTTTTCTGTGCACATAATTAATAATTATTAACTTTCTCAAACTCGACTATTTTGTCCCAGGTTGTGACGTATTTTTTTTACAAGAACTTGACGTTCACGCTCACTCAATTTTGGTTCACCTTCCAAACTGGATTTTCCGGCCAAAGGTTTTATGACGATTGGTTTCAGTCGCTGTATAATGTTATTTTCACGGCCCTGCCTGTCATCATTATAGGACTTTTCGACAAGGTATGTTTTTTTTTTTCTTTTTTTTTTTTTTTTTTTTTGTGCGACCCTTATTTTTTTTTTTTTTTTTTTCTGTATCTTCATTTTAATTGAAACTGTTTGTCTTGGCAATATCTTACTTAGGCTGCAATTGAAAACAAATCTTTTTCCCATTGGCTGCACTAACTCAAGTTATATCCTAGAATGTGGGATTTATTAAAATCTTCAAAAGATAACAATACTCTCACTCTGGTTTTGTTTCCAATTTGACTACACAACTTCTAAGTTCTAAACTAAAATTTTAATCTTTACCAAAACACTTACTTTTCATTTACATATTCCCAAAAACGAATAATTGTCCAAATTTACCCTTTATTCTAGTAGTTTATTCCCAGTCATACTTGTGTTTTTTTGTTTTTTTTTAATCTTTTAGCTTTTGTTTGCGGTAAGTTTTCGATGAGATCCTTAATTTTAATAAAAATATCTTATAAAATTCAAGATTTCTTCGAAAAAATGATGAGATGTGATAAAATCAGAAAAGTTTGAGAATATGGGCCCACCTGAAATCTGGCTTACCCCCACTTCCTCATTTTTGAGGCCTACTCTAATAGATTTATTATTATTCTACACCTCGAAAAGTTTGTTTCGTGACTATTAATTTTTCTGAATGCAAAGAATATTATAGTGTTGCTCCATTTATAATACCCTCTTTAGTTTTTCCCTTATCATTTTTTTCATAGGATGTGAATGCAATGCTTTCCAAGAAATATCCCGAGCTGTACAAGGAAGGAATACGCAACTCATTCTTCAGATGGAGAGTAGTGGTGACTTGGGCTTTCTTCGCAATTTATCAGTCGCTCGTTTTGTACTACTTTGTTGTGGCATCGAGCAACCGAGCCATGAATTCGGCTGGCAAGATGTTTGGCCTGTGGGATGTTACTACAATGGCCTTCACAACCGTAGTTGTGACGGTGAATCTGCGCCTCCTTATGATGTGTAACACCATTACCAGGTGGCATTACATCAGCGTGGGAGGAAGCATATCGCCTGGTTCGTATTTGTTTTCGTTTACTCGAGTGTCGTGTTACCTAAGGAACAATGACCTCAGCCCAGATGAGGCCCGAACCTATGCCATAATGCAACTCCCGGGCCAGAGTCAAAACACACTGGCTTTGCTTTCGACTCCCCAGGTTACGAGTCGTTTTTCGCATCACAAGCCGGGGTTTACGTGCCTCACAAGGCGTGGGATGTGGCTAGAAGTCGACACAAGAACCCGAGAAAGAATTGATTTTTTTTACTTATTTGTACAGATTTTTGTATATTTTACTTATTTGTACAGATTTTTGTTCTGTCATTTTTCTTTCTGTATCTGGGTGGCCACTTTTTGATTCTATAGCTATATGTAGAAATCAGTTGTAACATATGCTGCACAATTTATATATATATATATATATATTTTTTCGTTAGGAAATTTTTGTGTTGTACCAATTTATATATCTTTGTTTTCGCGTATTATATATTCCATATGGGTGGGTGGGATTCATCTTTGTGATAAGTCAATCCAATGAGACTCATTAGGCCCAACCCAAATACTCCAGATTCCTTTCGAATACGTGCTTGGCACTGATATTTCTAGGGTCCATAATCTTCATTGTTCTGGCCAAGAATTTCTATTTTTCCAATCATCATATTTAATTTTAATATTTATATGACATATTGTTGATTAAAATTTGAATATTCTCTAACAGTGTATCTTAGCTAGTGCTGTTAAATTAAACGAGCTTGGTTCGGCTCGAGTTTGAGGCCTTAACGAGCCGAGCTCGAGCTCATTTAAAGCTCGTTTGGCGAGCTCGGCTCGATAAGGCTCGAAAATAGAATTTTTATATAATTTCTTTATAATTCGGCTCGTTAAAGCTCGAGATCGGCTCGATAAGGTCTCGAGCTCGAGCACCCTAAGCTAGAGCTCGGCTAGGCTCGTTTACACCCCTAATCTTAACTACTATCAACTTATAGAGTTGTTGAACGAAATGAGAGCTCGAGTTGACCCGTTTAATAAACAAGTTGATGTTAACTTTATTTGAAGTTCTCGCTTAGTTAATTAGTCTGAGTCTATTTTGTTAAGATTAAAACTTGGTAGTTAGTTCGTTAATATTAGATATTTATTAATCTATTAATAGTTGAGTTTGAATTTTGCTTGACTGAGTCGATTAAAATTCCAACTCCACTATCAAAAAATTGCACTCGTCGATTGAACTTGGCTAGACTCATTCATTCTGTTGGTGCCAACTCATAGCATTTTACCCTTGAGCTGTCAGCGCTCCACGTGTCCCGCACCGTTTTGAATTGACCCGGCACCTAACGCGCCCACAGGCCGAGAAATTTCTGATCCCCTTTTATTTTATTTCCCAGAAAAAAAAAGAAAAAGAAAAATTAGAGCTTTTCACCATATTTCTAACGCCCTCGCCGCGAAACCTACCATCCAAGGCGATAGAGCCAAATTATGAAGCGAAAAATCCGTACTAAATTGACCTAGGAACCTCCGAATCCCAGATCTCAAGTGATCCTCGGCGGCGGCGACCGGCCGCGCCCGCGATTTCAGATTTCAGATCGGAGAAAAAATTAAGGGAAACAGGTTGAGGGTTTTGTTGTTTTCGGACGGGGGGGACAGATAAATTCAGCCAAAATGCCGGTGCACGGGGATCTGAACAGGCAGATAGATCAGCTGATGGAGTGCAAGCCGCTGCCGGAGGCGGAGGTGAAGGCGCTGTGCGACCAGGCCCGGGCGGTTCTGGTGGAGGAGTGGAACGTGCAGCCGGTGAGGTGCCCCGTCACCGTTTGCGGCGATATCCACGGCCAGTTTTACGACCTGATCGAGCTTTTCCGGATCGGCGGCAACGCTCCCGATACGAATTATCTTTTCATGGGGGATTACGTTGGTTGGTGTTTGCTTCTTCTCCTTTTGGTTTTTGTTTTGATTTTGTTGGTGGGGAGCCTGTTCCTGATCTGTTTGTTTGATTGGATGTGTTTGAGTGAGGATTTGTTCTTGGTGTGAGGTTGATTTTGGTGGTTGTGGTTGGTACATCCAGTGGTTTTACTTGGTTGCTGGTTTTAGTTTTAGCTGATTAAGTAGACTATACAACTAATAGATACGTAGCCGATTATTCTAATTTGCTTTTCCCTTTTTGGTACTTTTTGCTTGCTTTGTTTTGAAAGAGAATACAACTAAAGCCTGTGAAAGCTGATCTTGAGGATTTTTCCCCAAATTTAAACAAAAATTCTGTAAATCTTGCAATTCTTCCTAAGGCTAATCATATTCTAGGTCATTATTTGCAGTAGAAGTTGGATATTACTTAATGCTTCCTGGTTTGCTAGTGAGTTGGATATGTTCGTGGAAACTGAATCAAAGATCATTTACACGTTTTCTTATCCATATGGGTAACATGTTTACTTATGCAGTGTAGCAAAGATATTTTTTTGAAATGCTGGGGTTTCTTTCATTTTGCTCAGTCTCATGATGTTACTGATTATGGCTGACGCCGGCCTTTTAAATTGTTTCAATTTTGTCATGGTTTGGCTTTTATTTCAAACCAGTAAGTGGACTGCTTGCAATCGGCTGATATAATTTTTTATTTGTTATCCGATACATTAGTTATGCAAACCATGATATCATACATGTCTTGATATGCCTGCGAAATGCATCATTTATAACTTTGCGAATATTAAGCCAGGGTTTTGATTTACTTTTTGTATATATCTTTTATTTCTTTAATCTTTGTGGTACACCAAATTTGACGCGTGAAGCAATAAAAAGAAAACAAAAAAAGTTTTTTTACTGATGTGTGCCTCATGTAAAGTGCTTCTAGTGAGTTCGGTTTTATGCATTGAACCCTGCTACTCCCCAGAAGAAAAATAAAAGAAAAAAGAAAAATACGGGTGATTACATGATCTTTTTGGTCAATTTATTAGTTTTAGGAACAGTTAGTCTCATGTTACTTGAATACACATGTTACCCATGTAACATTACGTTCAATGCAGACCGTGGTTATTACTCAGTGGAGACAGTCACACTCTTGGTGGCTTTGAAAGTTCGTTATAGAGATAGGATTACAATCCTTAGAGGAAACCATGAAAGTCGGCAGATCACTCAAGTGTACGACTGTTATCTTCTCTAGTGATCTTTTACTGGTTGTGTTGTACGATTGATTTATATTACTGCATTAGTTGGAACATAATCTGTCTAAAAGTTAATGTTGGTTCCAATAATTACTAAAATGGATTTCTGATGATAATTGTGTAAGGATTTTTAACCATGTAATTCGTCAAATGAAAAGTTGTAAGTTGTGGACTTGAGAACCGCTTGTTATGAGTCATATACTGTGTGAATGCTACATCTGGCAAAGTAATCTTACAATAGTAAGACTGCTTGATCATTATGTAGGGAATTCCCGCCACATACAGTGACAGCACAGGTTTTGCAAGTTAATGCATGCTCATCCGGTTATGCATACATAATTTCATATTATAAGCTCTTTTACAAATGAAACCAAACCACATGGAATTCATGAAGTTTTTGGTTTAGGTTACAGCCAGCAATTGCATGAATTATGGCAATGCATGAAATACCTGCATACCTTTTAAGTGGGCCAAAAAAAAATAAAAATAAAAATGGATGTGATAAATGATGTTTTGAGTAGGCTTCAAACACTTGACCTTACTGGCGGTGTCTTACAGGTAACAACTGGACTAGTTTACTGTAAATAAATTTAGATGGTATTTTCATTGAAATTTATTTTATGATCTAATTGTTACGAGTTCTGGATTTTTCCCCGTGTCCAAGATTATTCATTAACCTGGTATCTTAAACCAGGTATGGATTTTACGACGAATGCCTGAGGAAGTACGGCAATGCCAATGTGTGGAAGTATTTTACTGATCTCTTTGATTATTTGCCCTTGACAGCTCTAATCGAGAGCCAGGTTTGGTTGACAAAAACGCGCCTTCATTTTCATATCGATTATCCCGTGTTTATCATATCTGATGTTTCACAGTGCTTTTCTTGTAGATATTCTGCTTGCATGGTGGTCTTTCACCTTCACTTGATACCTTGGACAATATCCGAGCTTTAGACCGCATACAGGAGGTATGAAATAAAAATTTAAATAAAATTTATCGCCCGTGAGAGCCGTTTCTCTAAAACGCGCCTCGATTTTATTCTTAAATAAAATTCATTTTGGATGAAATTACATTTAGGTCCCTCACGAAGGACCAATGTGTGACCTGTTGTGGTCCGACCCGGATGATCGCTGTGGATGGGGCATCTCCCCACGTGGGGCCGGCTACACGTTTGGACAGGACATAGCATCTCAATTCAACCACACTAATGGACTCACACTCATTTCAAGGGCTCACCAGCTTGTCATGGAGGGTTACAATTGGTGTCAGGTTAGTAGTCTCTAGTATGAATTTTTGTTTTACTTCTATCCAAGAATCATTCCATAATTTGACAAAAAACAGTTGTGCTTGGATACAAATATATTCGCTCATAGTGAGATTTCAAGTTTATAGTAAAATAATATTAAAGATAAAATAATGAGCGGTTAGTTAAAATTATGTAAGTGAATGAATAATGAATTAAAGTTTATGTGATGTGTAAGAATGATTGATTACTACTACTTCCTATTTTTAATAAGTGTTGTTTTGAGAAGTTGTACAATAATTAAGAAATTTTTTTTACCAATATTAACCCTCAGAGATAGAGATGGATGTTGATAGAGATGGATGTTTTGAGAAAAGATGAAGAGTAAATATGAAAAGACGTAGTGTATTTATTAGCTAGATGATGGTAATAATGGAAAAATATGTACAAAAGATCCAAAACGTCATTTATTTAGTTAATTGTTGATAAAGCTAAAATGACATTTAAAAAAAATAGGAGGTAGTATCATTTATATATATTTATAATGTTGAGGATAATGGAGTTGGGTTAAAGCCGAATTAGATTTTGAGTATGGATTGAGTATGAGTTGAGTTATTTTACATACAAACACACCCTACACATTTACTTAATTGTGTCTGCATGGATTTTGTAGGAAAAGAATGTAGTGACAGTGTTTAGTGCCCCGAACTACTGTTACCGATGTGGAAACATGGCTGCAATACTCGAAATTGGGGAGAACATGGAGCAGAACTTCCTTCAGTTTGACCCGGCCCCACGGCAGATCGAACCTGACACAACCCGTAAGACTCCCGATTATTTCCTGTGAATTGAAATTTGTCTTGGGACATTGAAAAGAGGAGTTGTTAGTTGATGATAATCGTCGAAATCATTCTTAGTCTGCGTATTTTGCTCGGAAAAACCTAAACTCAAAGGCATGGAACCAAGGACACGACTTCTTTGTATATTTTCCCAAAAAGTAGAAAGTAAAGGATGACATTTATATAGAAGTTTTGCAACTTATGAGTTCCATTTTTCCTTTTGTTTTATTTTTTCTTTTTTCTTTTTAAAGATACGGTTTTCATTGTTCGATTAGTTTTTTTTTTTCCTGTTTTGAGTGTGAAGTTACTGAGTTTTGTATGAACGCGTATTTGTTTGGTAGTGAGATGTTTGTGCAAAGGACTGACCACATTAGTATGGTACCAAATTGTCTGTAATAAGGGCGCGTGTATTCAATCGGTTATGATTCAATTTGGTTGGTTAAAATGAGTAATTTGAATGAAGTTGATTGAGTGAAGGATTTTGAGTTTATAATTAAATAATGTTTAAAATGTAATGATTAAAGTTGATGTTATGTAAAAATAGTAGAAAAGTAATTATACGAGTAAAATGGGTAGTGAATTAAAGTTTATGCGAGGATGATGAATTGATATTATTAAATTATATTGATGAATTGATATTATTTAATTATATTGATAAAAATAGGATAGTGAGTTGATGAGTCAAAATTGATTATGATTTATGCTTTTCACAAATTCTATGGAGCCATCCGATTATTTTTTTATGGAGTCATTCACCACTTAATGTGTTGACACATGTCCAAAGTGTATTTATTGCAGGACTCGTGTCAATACACTATTGGTGAGTAAGTGTGGATGACTCTATAAACCGAATTATCTGATGGTTCCATAACAAAACTGTTAATACTTTTAATCACGCCTAAATGAACTTGTTATGGTTATGATCCATATCTAACCACGCCTTAATGAAACTGAGGAAATAGATTTCATACAAATCTACTTTTAAAATTACTAAATTTGCTAAATTATTACAGTTTAGGGCAGATTACATGGGCAAAACTGAAAAGAATTTAAAAGTAGATTTTTATGATAAAATACAAAGATTTCATATGAAAATAATGGCAAAATTTATTTATTAATTTAGTCTTATCCTCTCTCACAAAATAAACGAGCGCTAAATGTTTCTATTTTCAGATTAGGACCCAAATCCACTCACCCCAAACACACACACACAAACACAGTCAGCGGAAGAACACTTGCAATGGCACACCAGCTAACCCGCCGCACATCCACCGTTCTCCGACCGATCTCCGCCGCCCGCCTCCTCACCACCTCCGGCACCACCCCGATCACCGTCGACACCGCTCCCCTTCACCACCCACACAACCTCGATCCCCCCTCATGGGAGAAAGGACGATTGCTCCAAGGGGAAAGGGGGCTCGATGCATTTCTACAGGAAGGAGGGCGGATTTTACGGCGTCCATGGAATTTTCGGGGCTCAGATCCCGTTGGGCTGTGGATTGGCTTTTGCGCAGAAGTATAGTAAGGATGATAATGTCACGTTCTCCAGATACGGAGATGGAGCGGCCAATCAGGGTCAGCTGTTTGAGGCTCTGAATATGGCCGCGCTTTGGAATCTGCCGGCCATTTTTGTCTGCGAGAACAATCACTGTAAGTGTCTGAATGATGTTAGTTTGGTTGGTTTTCTATGGAATGCTGAGATAAAATTGGTTGGGTTTTCCATTTGCTTGTGTGGTCTCTGGTGATGGTTGAAAGTTCTTGAATGATTGGGCGTTTGTATTTATCATCTGAGTACTGTGGCTTAGTTTGCTTACTTGAAACTGGTGCACAGATGGAATGGGAACAGCAGAGTGGAGGGCTGCTAAGAGTCCAGCTTATTACATGAGGGGAGATTATGCTCCTGGGTTGAAGGTGAGTAGGGCTTTACTCTTAACTGACATTTAAAAAATAATAAAAGGAAAATTGTTTCAACTTTCTTGTAACAAAAGCTGGGGTCCTTTTTTCTTTTAGAGAGAAAAAAAAAAAAAAAAATGTGTCATGAACTAGACCTGTTTGGATGGTGTTCCTTCTCCAATTTACTAATGATTCTTTCCAGACCAGTAAAGTTATCACCTTCACGCTCGCACAAGTATGTTTTCTGGTAAATAGAAATTAATCATTGTTCAGAGAAATGAAATGAAATTTTCAGAAGAACGTTGCATATTAGACACATTTTTGTTTGGGTATTCACTTGCCTTGGTTGTTTTTAAACAAATCAAGGGGAAAAAGAAAAGAACAAACTCAGGGCAGATTACTTCGGATTATGATTCAATAAATATAGGTTCAGTTTTCATTTACAATTTGTTGCTACTCACACGATCACACTTTATTGCAAAATGATTTCAGAGCTGTCCTTTAGTCCTCAGTTTTGTGCTATTTTGAACCGTAAAGACAGTTTGTTAGACTTGCCTTTTTTGAACTCGTTTAGTTCACGGTTTAAGCTGAGCTAAGCCTGTTAAGGCTCGAGAATATGGGGTTTTATATAATTTTTCGAAGCTGTATCTTTATGTGGCTCATTATTATTGATAAAAGCCGAACCCAATCTTGATGAAGGCTCGAGGTTGAGCATTAGAAGCTCGAGCTCGGTTTCGGCTCATTATATCTTTAATTATCATAATATTATTGTGAACAAAATATGTCGGTTCCAAATTTGTGCTGAAGCTGAAAACAATGAATTGGACGTGGACTCATATGTCATATATCACTAACAAACAAAATAATCAAACAATGAAGCAAATTTGATGTGCAAACTACAAATGAAAAACAGATATATAACTTTAAGTGCTGGCAATTGGCAAACGACACCGTCTGACAGGTTACTCATTCCTTGTATATCCTATTTCAGTAAATGGGGCCAATTGCAGTTTATGAGAACCCGTGGACCCAATTAATAAATTGTAGAATTTGGTTATACCAATGTGTATTATTCAGAGAATCCAAAGCAAACCTAACAAATATGCATTTGCTCGTAAATTTCTTAATAGATTCTATCTGGTGTTCAATTTAATAGTACATTTTACAACCACTATTTGTTAGCAAGATTCTAATTTCTGTTCAATTTAATAGTACATTTTACAACCACTATTTGTTACCATTATTATTATTATTATTATTATTATTATTATTATTATTATTATTATTCTTTTTTTATGCTTTGTCATATTGTTTCTTGAAAATGGGTGAAAATCAGTTTTATTCATGTTATGATATTTTTATAAAGATAAGGATACTTTATACGTTTTATCATAAGTAAATTTATTATTTATAATAGGTCGGATAACCATCAGGCAGGGGTGCTCTTTTTATAAATACTCATTATACAATGCCAGCTTTAATAAATATCATAAATAGAAGTATAACAAAATATGACATTTGATAGTATAAGTATACATTTCTTTTTTTCATGGAGTATGGTTGATCGACCCACCCACATAATTGTTATGTGATCTCACCTAAAAGTTGTGATTATCAATAAGGTGTGCACAATTCAAAACCAAGGTAAAATTTGAAAGTAATAATTAAACAAATGCTTATTGCGCTAAACTAAGTTAGCGAGTTGAGCTGAACATTAGTTTTATTGAGTTAGACTCAATTTGACTATTGCTCGAGCTCAAGCTTAACGAGCTGAACATCTTTAGGTTTGGCTCGATTCAACAAAAACATAGGCGCCCGAGATCAAATCAAATTTTGTTTGAGATTGACTTGAAGTTTCAACAATAAATAATTATGTTTAGGAAAAATTGATTAGTTTACATAAATTCAAGCTTCTCATCAAACACTCAAACTTATAAATTATAGTTTCCAACTCAACTCGAATTTTTACTTTAAATTACTAGAGTTTGTTCAAGCTCGAGCTCTTCTCAGCTGCTCTAACTCATGTAGGGAGAATTTACTAAAGAAGAAAAACAATGTTTTAAATTGGGTGGGTTTTAAAGGGCATAAAGCACGTGGTCAAGTGGATCGCAGAACAGCTGTCAACATCACAGCTCAGCCTCAAAAAACCCAAATCTGAGCTGGCAAAACACTGTCCACCTCATTTCCCTATCATTTACTACCCTCATTGCCAAAATTTATTTACTGCAAGATTTCAATAAATATTACTCTTATTCCTTTTCCCTATGTTGTTTTTTACTGTTTTCAAAATTTGAGCCCATTATTTCCCGACATTTTATTAATTAGTCCCAATGGGCTGCACTGGAATTAATTTACTGCCAATGTTAGTCTGAACCAAATTTATGTCATCTGTACCGTATGAGCAAATCGATAACATTAATGTAGCACAAAATACAAATAAACATTTTTTCCCTAAAAAATATAAAATAACAAAAATTAAATAAACAAACTATAAGTTCAATCTTCAGATTAGTTTTCAAGTTGGTTGTTTGTTTGTTACTAAGTCTGAATTTGGCTATGTTTGGTAAAATTAATTGGAAAATTAGTTGATAGTCGATGAATTAATTCATTGTTTATAAGTGAACTCTGAGTTTACAACTGATAGCTTATTATCAATTGATAGCTTACAAGTGAATTTTGTGCTTATAGCAGATGATTTATTGTTGAAAACTATTTAATATAATAAAAATATTTTGTAAAATTAGCAAATAACTCAGTAGAAATAAAATT